TTTTTTTTCCCTTCCTTTTCTGTCCTATTAAACTGTCTTTATCTCAACCCACAAATTTTACTTTTTTTTTTTTCTGATTCTCTCCCCCATCGCACTGGGGAGGGGAGAGTGAGCAAACGGCTGTGTGGTGTTTAGCTGCCTGCCGGGTTAAAACACAACATGATCTCAAATGCAAAAAGGTATTCCATAGAAGATGGGAGCAGGGATGGACTACCCAGGAGGAATATAAAGACATTGCTCAATTGTTTTAGGATGGAGTGAGGAAAGCCAAATCTCAGCTGGGTTTGAAACTAACAATGGATGTGAAGGCCTACAAGAAGGGCTTCTGCAAGATTTCTGGCAGCTGAAGGGAGGAAAAGAAAATATGAGCCACTACTCAGTAGAGCTTCTTATGAAAAATACCATTTCATCCTCTCATTCTCATAACTTAATTTTAAACTTTCGTAATTCTTTGTGTGCTCCAGCTATTGTGTATAGCAGAAAAGATTCTTGTTTAATTTAGCAAAAAATTATTTTCTCTGATTAATGTTTTGATCATAGTATCTTTATCATTCCTGTTATTCTTCCTCCTTTTCATTCTGCACTCATGCAAATGTTCTGACAAGCAATACAGATAATAAACACACATTTGTGCCTTCCAGATATCATTCTTTTAGCTACAGTTCCAGCTCTTATAATTTGTTTTTGGATAGTTGCCTGACATAATTTGCAAAGAAATAAAACGTTTATATCAAATATACTTTACTGGTAATTCAGTATGCAGTACTTCATATAAACTCGTGTATTTACACTATAAAGCTGCAGGAAATTTATATGATTGCTTTGTGAATATGGGGGATTGAAAATATTACATATTTTATTCTTTTTTTAAGTGACTTCATAGGTATAAACACTTAGCTCCATATAGCTGAAGTGAATTTGAGAAGTAGCAACTGCAAGATCAATTAAGTATTTTCTAACTCCAGTGTATAGGGCTAGCTGTCTATTTTTAATTATCTAATTATAGAATTTGTTTATGTAATTTAAATAGGAAATACACTATCTATCCATTATTTCAATCTTTGTTCTTCAGTGCAACTACATCTGTTTCTGCTTTGTATATTTTACCAAAATATTGGGATGTGTTTATCAAAAGTTAAGTCCTTACATGAAATACATTGAATCAAAAGAAATCAAGTTTTAACTCTCAGTGTTCTAGAGTACTGTATCATACTATGATCTTTATCAAATGTTCATGGAAATTCTTTAACTCTTTCCAGTTCATCCCATTTCTTTTCTCATGTATAATAGGTATGACGGTAGAGTAACTTACTACTAAAGTTTCCATGACAGCACACTCTTTTCAATTGACTGTAATTTTAAAAACATTAATGGGTTGGGCTGAAACTTTGTGTACTGGTGGCTCTTTCAGCCTGAATACTATTTGAAAATTTTAGCCTAGAACACCATTCACTTTCAAGCAACAGAGGAAAATACATTTTAGTTATGTCAGAATACTCAGGTTGACCTCATCTTTGAACTGCTTCAGCATCCCAAACTTTTGCTAAGGGACTGCAAATTTGATGGACATTTTTTTGTGTGCCACATTTTACATCCATGAAACCTGTCCAAGTTTAGTAAAGAATTAGACATTGTAAAATAATAACTCATATTACTGCTTAAGTATGAGGACAAGTTTAATTTTAGAACTTGAATGGTATTTTATTCTCACAAATCACAGTGAAGTTTCTTACAGTGCTGACCAGTCTATGCTACTTCAAATCAGCTGAAGCCTGAGAAAAGGTTTACTCAGTACTCTCAAATCAGTCTCTTTCTGAATGTTATGCAAATGAAAAAGGAAAT